TTCGACCGCCCGAAGATGCAGGCTGATGACTTCGGGGGATGTGGCGATGCTCTGCAGCTGCAGATGTGGTTCCAACCCGACGAGGTGTTGAAGTAGACAGGCCTCAATGTAGGCTACCATTACAGTTTAGCCCTTATAGTAACGCTTACAGTAATCATAGGCTTTCTAGAACCCTGATGTTGACCCTGATGTTGACCCTTACAGTAATCACGGCAGTTATAAGTCTTTTGTATCTGAACAACGCCTCGGAAGAAAAAGACCAGACGTCTGACAGACGAAGCCAGAGCGCAACCCCCAAACCCCAAACCCTAAACCTTAGGGTGTAGGATTCAGGAATTCGATGCACCGTTTGAGTCTGTTCGGGCTCGCCATACCGAGCTTGCTTCAGTGCTGCGAATCTGCGGCATTGGAGCAGCCCGTCTCGCTTTAATTCTCGCATGACCGGTTGCACCTCCCGATCGGGCTTCCCTTGGACGTTGGATGGGCAAAGTACCCCTCGAGCATGTCGGCAGGTGCAGAAATTCGTTTATCTTGGGTGGCGGAGGCCTGATGTCGGGTACATGGAACGTCAGTCATTTCTTCTGGACCTTAAGCCCTAAGCCCTTCGTGGCTTGAGGTGTGAACACTCGTGAGGCGCAAGACCCTAAAGCCGAGGACCTTGAATCTTCAAGCAATACTCTTGAGAGACCTGCTACACTTTTTCTCGGTGGGGCTCAGAGGGCTTTGGGGTTTAGGGCCTCTTGAGAGACCTGCTACACTTTTTCCTTGAGGTTCACAGGGCTTTGGGGGTCCAAAGTTGAGCCTTTGTCCCCCACCCTGTACCGTGTGGAGTAATGATGTCATCTTCGCGAGGGAATGCCAGAGCAAGCAATGAACATCTTTCGGGTGGCACTGCTGCTGCCGCCACCAGCTTTAGACAACAACGGGGACGGGAGTAGTGCGGTGGTTGTAAGTGTTTGCGGTTTTCAATACCAAAATGCACCTCTGAGCCAGCAACGAATTGCACTTTTGAGCGTTCAGGTCCAGCATGCAGCCAGGAGTACCTGGTTTATATGGTACCGGCAACGGGAACAGGGATCAATAGCAATATTTGTTTGGTGAGAACAGCATCAATTAGACCAGGATTCTGACAGCAACAGGGATGACAACATAGGTAGCATCGACAAGAGCGGTTGTCTAAATGTATACACACGAATATATCGCGGTTGTCACCGTGACTTCAGCGGGGTGTGCAGTGCCAATTGTTACAGACTAACAGCGGCTAACAGCCAACTTGACGAGTAATGGCACTTTGCAGGCTAGAAAACCCTAAACCCCTAAACCCTAAAACCTAAAACCCTAAACCCTAAACCCTAAAACCTAAAACCCTAAACCCCTAAACCCTAAACCCTGAAAGCCCCGAACCTTCAGTCCCAGAGTGTTCTTCTCCCGCAGTTCTGCCCAAGAGCCTCGAAGGGGCCGTGATGCCATTTTGAGGTTTAGGGTTTTAGGATTTAAGGTTTAGGGTTTAGGGTTTAGGGTAAATTTTGTCAGAAGCGACCACTCCAAGCCCATCGCCACACGCCCAGCAGTGGTGGCTGAGTTTGAGGCTTGCGCTCCTGTACTTGAGAGGGTCGGGGGGCTTAGTAAGTAGTCGTGTTCATGGACTTTCCAGTATCATAACCTCAATTAGGATCCTTCTTGAGCTTCTCATGAGTCTACTCATTACCTGCTGCGGTACACGCTAAGTTGCAGCGTCAAGGAAGGTTTTTAACATCATGACATGCCCCAGACGCATGCAGAAACCCTAAACCCTTAGCCCTGAGCCCTAAGCCCTGAACTCTAAACTAAAGCCTAAACTCGAGACGAAACTCCAAACCCTTCTTAGTAGTGGTAGTCGTCGTCGTCGTAGTAGTAGTTGTTGTTCTTTTCTGGGCATGGAAGGAAGATGTTCAGCAATCTGGGGTGTTGTTACGGTGTTGTTTCTTTAGGACCAGGGCTTTAGTGTTCAGGTCTAGGTCTAGGCTTAAGGTGCAAGGTTTCGGGGTGTTTTGAGCAGTGCCGAAGAATGCAAGTGTGCGCAGCTTTGGCGACGGCAACCTGCCAGGCGTCACCACTTCACCGCAGCTTTTGGCAAGCATCCGGGCCGCATTCTGAGGAGAGTCTTGGGCAGCTACTTCATGTAATGCAGAGTCTTGGTCCGTCAACAGCACAGGCTCGATAAAGCATGCTATTTGGGAGCCATCCTTCAGCATGCTGCCCTAAACCAAGTTCCTACAAGCCCTAAACCCTAAACCCTAAACCCTAAACCCTAAACCCACCCTAACAGGCCTGGACCGTATGAGCCTTTCCAGGATTCAGAGGATCCTCGGGTGTAATTCCTGGAAAGGCCTAGAGGGTGCACGGCTTTGATCTTTGTAGGGCTTCAGGTTTAAGTTTTGGGGTTCAGGCCTGGATCTCCCGTAGAGTCGTTATCTTGGGATTAGGGTTTAGGATTTAGGGCAGTTTAGGGTTTAGGGTTTAGGGTTTGGGGCAGTTTAGGGTTTAGGGTTTAGGTTATCTTGGGAACGCTGGAACTTCCAAGGGCACTTGGATTATCTTGGATGTGAGGTCTGTGCTCTCGCAGCAAGTATGAGTAGGGGTTATATCAAGGACTTGCTGAGTGTACACATGGCTCCTCAGCAACACTGGGAGTTTATATTATGTGTGTATATGTTGGATGTTGCCATGCAAAAGCTACCAATACATAACCATGTAGCACTCGGATTCTGTGCTTTGGGTTTGGCGTTTCAATGGCCATCCCCAGTTGATTGCAGAAGGATTCTGTGACTAGCAAAGGCTGCTGGCCTGAAGATGTAAGTTCCGTGCAATTATATAAGGACACATTAAGAACCCTAGCAAGAACCACTTTTTGTCGAATGAGGTTCCTACATATGTCCAAGTGGGGCTGTCGAAGGTGACGCTTTGGGTTTGCCGGGTCCTACTGACTCTAATCAACACCCCTCAATAGACAAACCTCCGTGTTATACATTCCGGAATACGGCTTGATTAAATTATGTTGGAGTTTCTGAGCGCGCGTTGGTCTTGTAGAAACTTCCTGGTTGCAAGCAATCGACTAGAGCCCCAGAGCCTGAACCCTAAACGCTCGACTTGCGTAAACTGCACAAGTCGTAGACCAACCCCCCCCCCGAAGCCCCAAAGCGCTACAGCAAGATGCCGATTGAGCAGTCGAAGAGGCGTTCCACTCGAAGCATGAAGCACTCGAAGATCTAGCCGAATCTAGCCTCTCTCTACCTAGGGGTTCGTGGTTGTCTGGTTAAGCTGGATTTCTGACCTCGCTGAAAGTCTGCGTATGCCCTGATCCCGCGAGAAGCCCAAACCCAAAACCCTGAACCTCAAAGCCTTTTCTTGCCTGTTTATATATTTTTTTAGCTGGCTAAAGCTGCCCAGCCCACCTCACAATCACAGAGTGGCAAAGCTGGACTGGTGGCTGTTAGGCTAAGGGTTTTGTTTTCTCGGGTTGGTAGCTGGTGGCACAGCATCTTTCCAGACACCTCTCCGAAGTGCCGAGGCAACAGCACATCCAGGCGACTGAGAGAGTTGGGATGCTGGTACGACCCCCGTGCAAGAAAACCCAAAGCATAGACCCGAAGACAAAGAACGCCCAGATCTGGTCGAAGAAAGCGATTTGAGGGCACCGTAAGCAAGAAGCTGAACAGCTGAGCAACATTCTCAATTTTTTGCAGAGAGAGGGCGAATTGATGGGGCCCGAGCACTGCTGAATTGGCATTGCCTTCGAACCCCTTATCTCTGATCTGCCGAAGTCCTCCCATGAAGGAACAGTCCCATAGACAGCTCATGATTTCGGTGGTTTAGATCTATGGTTCCGATCTCTTTGGTGTGTGGTTCAGGATTTGGGTTCAAACCCCAGCCTCGATCCTCGTTTACTGAACTTGTGCATCCGCTCCAAACTTTTAAGGTTTAGGGTTTAGGGTTTAGTAATTTAGGGTTTAGGGTTATGCACTTGTCCGTCCTTCATAGGGTACTTTGGAGGTTCTGCATGACTTTGGGCCTACCCAAGCCTTGGCTCTCGCGGCCCACCAGGCGAGGGGCAAAGCCATCCCCAAACTCCTCCCAAACAGGGTTTAGGGTTTAGGGTTTAGGGTGATGGACATTCTAGGTGGACTTAGCAACGGTAGGCAAGAGGACTAGGCTTGGTCAGCGAGTGGCCGAAGCCAAAATGAGTGCGAGCCTTTGTCTTGCATGTAGCCTCGAAGATCAAGCCCTAAGTCTTAAGCTCCATGTCCTGATCTCAACAGGCTTTCTGAGTGGGATCGGCTTCGCAAAGCCTCGAAGCTACGTCGACCGTCTGGCTGGGCCGTTCATTCAGGCTACTTTCTATCTGAAAATACAAATATTTATAAATAATAAATGGAAAAAACAAATAAAAAAAAGAAAATAAATAAATAAATGATTAAATAAGTAAATACATATATATATATATATATTATTTGTTTGATTGATGTATTTTT